CTCCATTAACAGCTATTTCAATGTCGGATCAACTCCTCAAGCTTACGCGAGGAGACCGAAAGTTAGTTTGGGTAGAAATAGAGAGAACATTCTTCAGAATGGTGGAAACAAGTTTCTTTTCGCCACATTGAATGTTAGAAGAATTTTCAACTAAAAGTCATGTAACAGTGAAAGAGAAGCTAACGAAAAAATGGTGTTAATGTGCATGGAAGATCTAATGTATCGTTGCTATTACTTCAGGTGCAAAACAAATTTGTAGATTTCCTCTACACCAATATGCAAAATTCGAAAGAGTACCCAGACTACCATTCGGTCTTGTGGCATAGGGTTGAGGCTTATAGCTCTATATACACGCGGTCTACGTTAACCGAAAAGAGCCATTTTTTGCTAGACGAGAAAAAACAAACCTTAACAAAAATGAAAATGTGACCTTTAGACAATGGGCCACACTGCTTTGAGAGTGTAAGAACGCTTGACAAGTACTAAAACAGGTGGAAAACACTAAGTTTGATTCAAAATCTGCCTGCATGGAAGGAAATAACAATAGTCATAAATGGCCCGTTTACGCCTAGTAAAGCGGAAAGGACTTCCAAAACCTGATACTTTTTATGATACAATTTTTTTGCGAAACCGTGCAATAAGATTAGATTGTGTTAGACGTTGCACCATTAAGCGATAAAAACCTGTGTTACACACTTACGTCAGCTTTACCCAATGAGATAACGCTTTATAACTGAAAATTGGAAACTAGAAAAAATTTTCGAACAGAAAGTTGATTAGCTAATCTTGTCCTGAATGCTACAGCTCAGAAAAAAAAGTGAAATTTGAAAAACTCACACAACTTGTGATCTGCTAGGTAAACTAATTATTAGACCTACAGTGTATTGCATTGTAAATATTAACACTTTCAATCAATAATTGGAGGCTTATAAAATTGTTTATTTTAATCTTCTTAGGTTGAGTGACTGAACAATGGCCTTCGTGGGAACTCTGTATACATTGTTGCTCGCAGGAGTGGTCTTAGGTATTTAGAATTTTTGTATTGTCTTCGTATTTGATGATTCATCATAGCGGTCTTAAATTTTGACAGCAAATGTTATTCCTAAAGGCTGGCTCAGTTTCACTAGCGCATAAGTATTAGCATAAGCCGACATATGCAGACGCAGTGATCTGTTGATAATTAGCACCTTTTATTGGGAAAATTTCCAAACAAAGGGCACTTTAACAGTATCTTACTGTGAGTCAACATACGTCGGCTTATGCTTATGATTATGCGCTAGTGAAAACCAGCCTTTGGTAACATTTGTAGTAAATGCTGTACATTTTGAGACCGATTGCTCTTTTATGCATCTGTAAGCTGTTTTCTTTGTTGTCTCCGCACCATGAGGGTTATTGCTGTCCGACTTAGTTGAGTAAGCGATAAGCTTCAAGAGGCAGTTTCATCGCCCGGTGCAGGCGCAAGCTGTGGCTTGAGCATAAAATGCCTTCTTCGCTTTTCTGCTGAGCCACGCATGCATTTTGTACAAACAGAATGACTGATGTCCAAGTTTCTAATACAGAGAAAATGTCGAAATTAGCATTTTAACATTGAATTCATTATTCGGGCCTAAGGTTTTATTCTGGATACTCGCACAGGGTACCACTCGCATCCGATTGGCTAATAAACTGAGGAAATGGTGCATGACAGTCGGAACATACAAAATAAGAGTACTGAGAGGTACTAAGACGCACCAAAACCGCTCTTTAACCCCCAAAAGGTACGACGACCACACCTGTCCATTTTATATGAACCG